TCTCCGGGACTCTCTCTCTCTCTCTCTCTCTCTCTCTTTCTTTCTTTCTCTGTCTTCCTCTCTCTAGCGAGAAAGGCCTTTCTTCCTCCGTTGTAGCAACGCAAACGCCGCTACGAGCTTCTACAAGCTTGCTTGCGTGAGCTGCCTTTTCTAGCACGTTCTGAGTAAAGGGGAGAGAAAGGACGTGTCGCTCGCTAGGAGCCACCGGAAGCCCGAAACTTATGACACGTGAAAAGGGAGCCACCCGTAGGCTACTCTTGTTTCTCGACGATAGAAGTAAGCGTTCTAATTATCAAGACGACGATTTACTTTTAAGTCGACGATTGCCCGATTCTTATACCACGCTTGGAATTTACTATTCGGTTCTTTGATGTTTATATTTTTGGAATTATTTTTTTTCTTTTTTTCATCTGAAATATAATATATTTTATTTTCTTTTTCATAATTAGGTTGATTTAACGATGCACGTGTAACATACGAATGAGGAATAAATAAAATTTATTTCATTGTCACAAAAGTTTCTTGATCTCTCTTGTTAGGCTTATTTATATCAATACTATTAAATAAAAAATATTATAAACCTAAAAAGTTACTAAGAAAAAGCAAGAAACTTTGGGGGAACAACTTGATACGAATAATGATCCAAAAAATTTTCATCATTTAAAATGCGAAAAACGGGACCGAATGAAATAAAATTAAAAATAAATTCTAACAAATTTCAATCGGTAGACAAATTAAATTATACAGCCTATACGTAATATATCGAAGATCGAATTATCGTAAATATCTTTTGGCAAAAAATGAGAAGAGAAATGATTAACAGTTCGACCTTACCAACAAAAAGTTACATGAGGGAGCGCTTTAGAACGTAAGCCTAAGGGAACATCTTATAGTAGTGCATAAACACAGCYTGTAGGTTCCTCTTCTTCTTCTTCTACTTCGTGCTTCAGAGCAATTCACTTACTTTGATTTGATTGGTCTTCGCGTATGATAGGAGCTTTCGTCTATGCGAGTTTCAAAGAGGAAGCTCGGAGGGAGGCCGAAAGGAGAGCACTGGGAACTCAAAGAGGGAGCTTCGGAATCGTGTTTTGCGAACCGCGAACAGAGTTATACCGCTAAATCCCCGCCAGCAATCAACGTATTGGCTGTTCTTATTAGAGTTGGCAACAACCAAACTCTCCCCATACTCCTCCCAAATTCTCATCCCCTTCGACTTTCCATTTATGCTCGAATACTCCACGAAATTTCCTTCCTATACCACCGTACGCTTAGAATCCCTTTTCTGCTTCCTAGATGATTTCAACCGAGTTGAAAAAAATTTCTGATTACTCGGCGAAATGTCACGATCGTCCTTAAATCTTTTACTTTGTTCTAAATCTTTATATTTCCTATTTTCCTCCGCCCCCATTCGACAATCGATCGTGCAGTTTATTCGTTGTATTTCTTTCTCAAAGAAATATTGCGAATAAAATTTTAAACTTCTAACGAACTGTATATTTAATTTTTTAAATTAATTTATTAAGTTTTTACTATTAAAGTATAACTTTGTGGGCTAGTAATTTTAAAATTAAATTTAAAAATTTCTTCCAAAATCGCGTTAAGAACACGAACCATTTCGAGCATATGTTCTCCTGTTCATAAAGATGAAGAAGGAAAAGGGAAAAAACAATATATTTAATGATTCTTATTTCTCTCACCTCTCTCTCTCTCTCTCTCTCTCTCTCGTAAAAACTTTTTTCGACGTAGATACGTCATCGACTAAGAAGAACAATTCGTCGGACGAAAGTTTCGTTCGGCTGAAGTTTCAGACGAAATACGAGGAAGCATTTTTCAAGAAAGGCGTGAGTAACGACCGAAATATTTTCCTTCTCCCTAAGCGCGTGCTCTTCTCTTCTCTCGTTTTTCTCATCCGCAACGAACGCTCCTCACCTCTCTCTCTCTCTCTCTCTTCTCTCACTATACCCTTCTTCTTTCCTTGTCTTCCCTAAAGGTTCTTCTCCGGATGAAACACGTTTCACGGGCTCAGCATAAAACGTATATCCACCCCCGTTGGTTAAACAGCTACACACGCTTCTTCTATACGCTTGTACAGGAGCGTGGCGGACTTAGGATTCCCCTAACTTCGTTTCATCTTCCGATATATCCCAAAGGGCCGAACGAGTGAACTTGCGGAGCTTGATCGAATTTTGGTAGTTCTGAAAGATCTGGCAGAAGAACAGGAAGCCAGATATATATGAAACTGATCCATTGTTCGGAAAACAGATCTCCAAAATGTTCGATGAAAATTAAATTTAAGATAAAATAATAAGTTCTTCTAAATAAACAAATTTGAAATGAAATAAATGATTGAAAAAGGTATTTCATGTTCAAGGAAAAAGAGAAGGAAGTTAATGTGATTTTCACATTTTCCTTTTTCAAGGATAACACTAGAAATGTAAACCGCTATACCCAATAACTTCTCCGTGAGTGCACGTGCGATCATACGAATGAGATAATCGGCGAAGTTAAAGGGAGAAACAAAGATGGAAATTTCGCGAAACCTCCAAACTGGAAGAGACCAGAAGGAAGGAAGGAAGGAAGGAAGGAAGGAAGGAAGGAAAGAAGGAAGGAAGGAGGAAGGAGGAAGGAAAAAAGGCACGCGCGATAAGAGACGTGATCCTCCGAGGTTGGTAAGGAGGGTTGGAGGAAGGGCATGAAAAGCACGTCGCATTTTCTACTTTGCGGAAACGTACGAGGGCCGCTTAATTGGGGTAGGGAGGAGAGGTGGCGTGCTTTTATTTATAAGTTTGCTCGAGTCCATCGAGCCCTCACTAGAAAGCGTTGCTTTCCAAGGAAGAATGGAAGAAAGAAAAAAAGAAGGAAAAAAAAGGGAGAGAAGAATCGACGAAGGCTCACGGTCCGGGTGGAACAGTGGAAGCGTGTGACAAATAACCCTTATAAACGTTCCTCCATAATTCGAGTTGCCCCCTCGACCGTGGGTTGCGAAGTTGTGCGCGAGTTGACGCGCGCAAGAACCTAGAATGAGAATATCGCGAAGTTACTCAGGGAAGAGAAATCGAGCGAGAGTATGGAGAGAAACGGGGGTGAGTTTGGATTGTGGACCACTTGATTACCTAGCGATAATAAACATCGAGCCGATATGAACTCGGTTTGACCACTGCTCCCTCATACTATCTACTCACTGAAACCAACAGAGAGAAAGAGAAAGAGAGAGACAGAGAGAGACAGAGAGAGAGTGGACACATGAGCGCGCGCGCGCGTCTGTTGTGCGCCAGCCAACTGGCACGTAGTAGATACGTACGGGAGAACGGTCGTTTCGTCGACCATAGATAGCCGGGGATACGGTTGTAAATATGATGCGTTTATTGGCTACCGTGATTCGTGACCACCGAGAAGGAAAGAGAGAGAGAGAGAGAGAGAAATGGAGAGGGACTCGAGAGAGTTGCGAGTTCGTGTCATTGCTGTGCTTTCGTACGATTAACTTTAGTCCCAATGATTTCGAGACCTATGGCCGGATTACCTATGATCTATGAAAAGGTGACCTACGTGAATCATAAAAGAAGAAATAGCATGAAAGAAAAATATCCTAAAAGAATAAAAACGCATCTAGTCTTATCGTCTCACCATTCTTTTTGTTTATATTCTAGTCTAATAATCAATTATGAAATAAACCTGTTCAGCAATTTCTGTAAATTTTCACTGTTAGATAAGTTAACTAAATGATTTCAAAGTTTCTTTTTTTTAGTAAAATGTTTAAAAGTGACGACTCGTTTGCTCGCTCGTGCACCGTGTCAACGATAAAAAGAAGTATATACATGTTTTATATAGGTGCAGGTGGCACGTCGGTAAACGATAGTATTATAAACGTTTATGCGACTCGATATAGACCGTATGTGCAAGAGTCGACGTAAAAGGCTGCCTGCTTATGGAGAGAAGTAGTTTGAAAGAACGAGATAGAAAAAGAGAAGAAAAGAGAGAGAAAGAGAGAAGAAAAGCGAGACGGGGTGGGTGGCTTTAGGACGGTCGTGTCGGTGCGGGGGAGGTGAAACGGGAGGGTTTTTACGAGGCAGTAACGGCCGATAAGGTGAGCTTGCGCCTCCTCCCCCCATTCAGAGCTTATTCCGCTACTGTACCCAAGTGGATGCTCAAAGTTCTCTCTTTCTCTCTCATCCAACTCTCTTTTTCTCTTTTCTTTTATTTTCTTTCTCTTTCTCTCGACTTTCTTGATCCTTCTCATGCTCTTAGTCGTTGTCGTCGTCGTTGTCGTCCCATGAACGACTTCACCATTGCTTTATTTAAAACCGTTTACACCTATCGCTACAAACTTCTCAAAGAAACTCCCGTTTGCGGTAACATCGACGTATCTTAGATTTTTTATCGTCGTTCTTTTTCTTCAATGTTATACACGTATAATTTTGCTTATGGTTAGTTATGATGAAATCAAATCAATCGTAAATAATGTAAAATTGATTGAAATTTGTTAGAACATTTTCATTTAGAAAAAGAGGTAGTTTTATTGGCATTGCTTTATAGTATTATTTTAATGGTTTATTAATAATTTATTTAATAGTGATTAATGTGATAACAATTAGAATACTTATAGATAAGCTTAAAATGTAATTGTTATTTAACAGTTTAAATATTTGTAAAGGGTAAAAATTGTTCTACAGGTTCCAAATCAAAATTTATAGTACAGTGTTTTACAAATTTTTCAGACTTTTTTACAAATAATCAGAACCTCATACGATGTGGCATAAATAAGCTTAGGACTCTTAGAAATTTTATGCTTTAAACATTAGCTCATGTAAAAAGGATCGTCGAGTGGAAAGATTTGTGAGGCACTAATGTAAATTGTGAGAGGTAGATTATAGCATAATTTATAATAATTACAAATTAATTGAGAATAATTATATTTGAACATAATGGTAATAATAATTAAAGATAAAAAAGAGTAAATAAAGATTGTATCGCTGATAAGGCCCAATCGGTGGATGTTGCAGGAGCGAACGGACTGCGCAGGCGCGGCCGACAGACCTACACGCGTTATCAAACGTTGGAACTGGAGAAGGAATTCCACACGAATCACTACCTCACCAGGCGGAGGCGGATCGAGATGGCACACGCACTATGTTTGACAGAACGGCAGATCAAGATATGGTTTCAGAATCGACGGATGAAGCTGAAGAAGGAAATACAAGCGATAAAAGAATTGAACGAGCAAGAAAAGCAAGCGCAAGCGCAAAAAGCAGCGGCAGCGGCCGCGGCTGCGCATCAGCAACAAGGTGGCGGTGGGGGTCCTGAGGGGGGTAACTAGGGGTACGCCCTACACCGTAGCCCCCCTGACCACCCCACCGCGAATCCACACCACCCTCTGCTAGCGCCTCAATGTACACAGCTATACTAAGGTGAGCTTAATATTTATTTTTTTTCATACTACCATAATTCATAGGTAAATTCTTCATCTTCAATTTATAAAATAAGGTAGCTACAATTTCACATTAATACAATGAATAAAAGGTATTAGGATTTGCGTTAAAGTTTTGTCTTAAAATATGGAAGTAGAAGACTTTTATCATCGGTCTATGTGGTTCTTTTTTTACATCGTTTAAAGTTTAACGCACGATGTTGCTTTGAACATTCACGAAACAAAACGGAAAAGCCTTCGTCAAGTTGAAACACTAACCACGCTCTCAGCTATTTTCTTTTTCGTGAAATAAGTTTCCTCGGCGAATCTAATGAGAATATACCACGCGCGAGCGTGCTTTCATAATTTCATAAGTTATTCCGTTTGTGTATGCTCTTAAGAGAAGGGTAGATGCGTTCACCGGCCGGAGTAAGTCTGTATTCCGTAACGTTGTGCAAACTTAATTTTTGTCACACTATTTCCCTGTAAAATGAGAAATATTTATTTTGTCTGTTTATATTCGCCAAGGAATACATTTCTACGTATTCTAAACAGAACAATTTAAATTAAAATTGCTAAAACAAAATTTCTTCCTAAGTTTTTATTAATGTGCTTTTATTTATATTTTTTTTTCACCAAAATAAAATAGAACATGTAATTTAAATTGTCATTCAAATATAGATGTAATTAGTACGTGACTGAAAAATTCATTTCTTTATTCAATTGTTTATAGCAAGAATGTAATCTGCATATTTAATGATACCTACGTGTAATATCAAAATGTTTAATTACCTGAATACACAGACATACACATTATACGTACTCCACTAATATCTGAAATAACTTTTTGTTGGTAGAAAGAAATCTCGCATACGAGCGAATTGTATTTCATAAATTCAATTTATATTAATAATATTTATACTTAACAATTTACTGGTTATTTGTCCATTTATAATTGTTGAATGTGATACATATTCTTCGTCTAGACGTGACTTCATGGGAATTTTTAGCTCTACAATATTTGTACTTAACAATTTACTGGTTATTTGTCCATTTATAATTGTTGAATGTGATACATATTCTTCGTCTAGANTGGGAATTTTTAGCTCTACAATATTTGTACTTAACAATTTACTGGTTATTTGTCCATTTATAATTGTTGAATGTGATACATATTCTTCGTCTAGATGTGATTTCAAAGGAATTTTTTAGCTGTCTAAACTTGTCGCAATACTGGGTGAAAGTGAAAGTTTATTTCTTTATAGGATATAGGGGGTTGAAAAAAAGGAAGAAAGTAGAAAGTTGTGGGCAGGTAAAAAAGAATAGTAACAAAGGTGATGTTTTGGGTGTGCTATCTATCCTAAAGATCCATCCTATAATTCGTATTTTCGTCGTGGGGCGGCTATTCATTCTCGGAAGACGAATGGCCCATCGAATGCGTTGTTCTGTGCACACCAATATTGCCTTTAAAAAAAGGCCTCTACTTTTTTACGATTTTCACGACGTTTACTTTTTATCCCTCGCATGTTCCATTTTATCGGCATTTTTTACGAAAATCTAACTAAAAAGAACTTTCTAAACATGATTTTCATTTTATTCTGAATGTTTTTTGAACGTTTTGTTTTTTTACAAAAAAAAATCTCTTTTCAATCTCTTATAAATGTTTTACGATCATTTTTTGATCTATTTTGTTGAAAAAAATGTGAGTAAGAGAAATAACGCGTTCATTGTATAGAAATCCCATTGCTAAAGTAACTATCCTCAAAAAATCCTAGAAAGTTATAGAGCGGATATTCCAAAGCCGTTAGTCGATTGTCTCGAAAATAATTCTGTCTCGACTAGAAGGTACATTGTATTTAAATCTAACATTCTCATCCCACTCTTCGTACTCACGTCTAAATGTAAAATAGTTATCGAATAGTCAATGAAAGAGAATTATTTACTTACTCGTGTTCTCGTGAACTCGACATTTCCCTATTTTCGGATCATCGAACATTCGGATAAATTATAAAATAACTTTTTGTCGATACACACAACAGATCAAAGTTTAATGTGTAAATTCATGGTAATTTGGATTCTTTTCAAACTCTTTATTTGAAAATCGAATCGTCGTTCTCGTAAAATCAGTCGTAACGTTGCAATGTTGCTGCCGCGGGTCTTGAAAATCGAGATTTGTTCGAGAGCAACATTCTTCTTAATCTTCTTCCTTTTTCGGATTGCACGGCCAACTTCTCGCATAAATTCTCCCCTCGACCATTCGTAATATTACCCGCAGAACGATTCCTCGATTAACTTCGTGGATTGCACTGTAATTGTACGGGTCGTTCGAGCTCAATTAAATAACGCTTCGAGGACGATATTTATTTAAAACGGCCGGGAGTGTTATTTATTTAATTGACGACATCAAATTCGCAAATATACTAAGCGTTACATTCCGAGTTATCCCGCTTTATCTCGTATGGTTATATAATTAAATCGTTCGACGCTATTAAAGTTCCATTTGGTTGGTTATAAAAGGATCCGATGATTGAGACATTGATTCTGTAATTGAAACTTTATATCGCCATTGACTTTCCACCTGCATCCACGAAGGTGTCAAGAATTTTTCGTAGTAATTATTTTTGCTTGATATTTATATTTTAAACGTTAATTTATATGTATATATATATATATATATATAACAAAAAAATATATATATATATATATTTTTTGTTACAAGTAACTAACAATGTATAACATTTTCATTCCAAATTTGTAAGTAGAGGATCATGTGTATTATAAATTTATTTAAATTCAGTCTACTTCCGTGTATCATTTTTCTTTCGTCTCTAAAAATAGAAAAATGCAAATAAACGCATCTTCGTTTCTTTTTTTTCCGAGTAACACAATTGAAAAATACGAGTTTAATAAAAACGAACCTCCGTTCGTAAACATGAAAACGCAATTAACATGAATAAACCTAGAAGTTAAAGAAAAACATCGTTTTAATATGCGCATAAGAATGTGTGTGCCATTGAAAAGTGTAAAAATAAATGAAATCTTTTATCGCATCAATTTAATCGGATATAAAAAAAGGCATTTGAATTACAAAATTTGATATTGAACTTAAAAATGTATAAAATCGATTTAATACAGTAAATAAAACTTTAACGAGATTTGCTTTTAATCAGACTATCCAAATTTGTATAGTGTGTTAAATATAATATGGTGATCCGTATCCATAGTATGACACTGCCATCTAACGGAATTAACGATCTCTGGTATAGTTATGGCTGCTTCACCCTCACAAGTTTGTGGGCGTGGTTAAGGCGGAGACGAAGGAAAATGACTATTTTCTTGAATTAATTCCATATTTAATTTTATCTTTCTATAAACAATATTATTATTTTTATTTAATAGTACTCATTAAAATAATATATCCGATATATTTACAGTATAATTTCAATTTCATTAAGATAAGAATCTAAAGAAGATTTTCAAAGCATTTGTTTTGATGTAATACTCCGCGAGCACTACTTTTCTTTACTAAATCGGACTATACCAGATGGCAGCATCGGTCAGCCCTATATCAGCATTTATGAGAACGCTCTACTTTACCGACTCTCAATAGGTAAGCACAAATTTACGAAAGCGCTCTACCCACTAAGTTCGACAATCGAGGTTGTTAGTTCGATGATCTTCCGTAATGCGCATTGTACTTTGTTTTTATCGACGTGGTAATACAAAAGGACTATAAGGGACTAAAATGCATGTGAAAGAAAGCTTACCCTGATTCTTAAATTTTATTCCCGCTACAGTCTATAACGAAAATGTTATAAAAGAAAAGGTGACATTTTTATTAGAAACAAAGGATCGCCGTAACGTAATTTTATTGCCCAATAAAACGTAATTTCCATGGATCGATGAAACACTTCGGTCGTTTATCTCTCACTCTCTATCTCTCTGACATAGATGTTCGTCAAACACTGGAACAAGCTCTTTATTGGCTGTAAAGGAAGACATTTTACGATCCATAAAAACATTTATAGCGCTAGAGTCGTCTTACTTCGGTTGTAACACCCCCGTCCCACCCAGTTATATCCATTACCCCTTCCGTGGCCTTTCCAAGGGCGGCCACTGGCACGCGCGCTCTCTTGCCTTGCCTGCCTTTGAGATTTACAGGTTACGCTCCCGGTAACACCTCGTAAACTTGGCTTAACGACTTTAACCGGGCCTAACAGCTTCCTTCCTGTAATCAGACCCTGACCTACCTTTTATACTCGTCCTAGAAAAATCTCGAGCCAACTGTCATGTTTCTTTCATCGATGTAACCCTCATCATTATTTTACGACTAAATTTATGACCTATGAATAGTTACATTTTATCAATAATGTTTGACTACCAATTTCTTTTATTATAAACAGACTCTTTCCCAAATGATTATTGTGCTCGTAATTTATAAATACGTTTGTTCAAGATTCTTATCTTATTTGTTATTCTAAAATAAGTAATTAAACTGGTTTTATATCTTGTTTCTTTAAAGAAGAATGAGCTTCTGAAGAATCTAAATGAAAAGTCTCATTGCTTTTGTATTAAATCACCTATACAATAGAAGGCTTGTAACTCTTGAACGTGCGCTACCAGCTCAGAGAATACAGTTCTTTGCCTTATGATTTGTTTTGATTACACTTCATTACCATTTTACGCCTTTCGCTGGCAGCGTAACGGCCTGGCAATAAGTCTTCTTCGTTGATTCTATCGCGACGTTTATGGCCATCATTATTAGCTGATACCACTTGAACTCTCGTAAAGTCTACGCCTGTGCGCGATCTGGCTCGTCTGGGATGCTCATCCACTTGCACATAGTGGCATCAGTAGAGGGGATAAATTGGAAGGGATAACCACGAAGACGAATAAGAGAGGGGAGACTA